AGTTTACTCTCTGCATTAACTGAGGTACTAGGAAGCGTCTGGGAGTCAGAGGAAGTCCCGTTAGGTTGGTGTAAGTCACTGATTATCCCTATATACAAGAAGGGAGACAAGTCTTCCTGTGATAATCACAGAGAGATTAACTTGACCAATATAGTATCTAAAGTTCTAGGCTCAATAATAATGCGTAGACTGAGTGGTGCTTGGGAGGCACACACACGAGAGAAACAGGCGACATGTTTTAAACCAGGAAAAGGGTGTATTAATCATATCTTCACCCTTCGACAGATTCTAGAACATAGAAATTCTTACCGGCATCCAACAATCATTATATTTAGATAAAGCAATAAGAAGACGTAATTTGTCTGAATCGCGTAATGTATTTGCGCAACACATTTCGAACAATCTGATCACACACAGGCTTGTCAAAGGAACATATATGAAATTAATAAAGATGTAAGAGGTGAGAAAATAGACTTAGGTCAAGTTAAAAGGACATATTAAAGGTCAAAATAACAATGAAGACCACTAAATGTGTTGCGCAAATACATTCCACGATTCAGACAATTACGTCTTCTTATTGCTTTATCTAAATTCATAAAGGGAACTAATTGTTTTAAATCATTATATTTCTTGACCTAAAGGTGACATTCGATTCTGTCGACCGAGAGGTACTCTGGCGATGCTTGGCTGTGAAGTGAATGCCGAGAAAATACATTGCACTGATTAAGGCACTCACTCTACTCGAACTCATGCAGCCAGGTGAGGGATTATGGCGAGTTGTCATCTGATGTGGTGACGACTAGTGGTGCCCGTCAGGGATGCCCACTGTTCCCATTTCTATTCAATTTCATCATAGATGTACTAATGGACTTAGCCCTAACTCACTTCAGAGACTTAGGGATTGACGTGCTACCAGGGAATAATCTCGTTGACTTAGAATATGGAGATGATGTAGTCCTCCGTGATAGGTGAAGACGCTGACAAAATGCAGAGTCTTCTGAACACCTTGAACCACAATCTGCAAGTGTTTGGCATGCGATTTATTCCCGTCAAATGTAAGACGATGCTACAGGACTACATTGACTCCTAGCTTAAAGATAGGGAGTGAAGAGGTTAGAGCACGTTGACCACTTCACTTATTCGGGAAGTTGCATCATCCAGTGTCAACGGGTTGATCGCTGGTGAAATCTCAGCACGGAAACCGAAGGCTAGTTTCGCATATGCTAGTTTACGCCGTCTCTGGCGTAGACGTGATATCTGGCTATTGACCAAAGGGCGTGTGCACTGCTCAACAGTCCGTTCCGTCCTTCTTTAAGGCTGTGAGACATGGTCATTGATCATAGGTGCCTGTGTTCTATCTCCAGCGTTAAGTGGCACAATAAGGTGAACGACGTTGAGGTTAAGCATCGGTAGAGTGCTAGGAAAAGAGGAAATGAGTTTGTGGAGTTACACCGATTGAGATGGTTAGGACATTGTGCTACGCATCCCTAGCCATCACCTTCCTCAATAAGCAATGTCAGCTGACATAGCATCAGCCTGGAAAAGAGCTATTGGTGGTCGAGTCAAAACATGGCATCAGTCAATGAAATCCACAAGTCAGTTTAAGCTAGTCATTTAAGGTGTAAACATCTTGGTTGGGTTCTTCTGGATGGTAAAAACCAATGGCGACAGACAATGGGTGACATGGCTCGGAAACGTTGTCAGTGGCTGGCGCAGATGCATTCACTGTTCGTGATTTATAATATCCAATGAAATCCTACTATTCTTCCATATAACTATTCTTTCGCCTCATATTTGTTTATTATCTCTCTTTTGAATCTCTCCTTACTCTATTCTCCTGCTTTTTGTGCTACATGGAGTGTGACAACTCGAACTGCTGCACATCTGTGCAAAGTTCTGCACTCAAAGCAGTTAGTCAGTCACCACTACGGAGTATGCTGAACTTTTATAGACCTCACTCAGCAGCTATATGATAAAACCACATGACAAGTGATTCAAAACAGAAGCCTCAGAGAAGCCTTTGAAATGAAGGCATGATTAATACATGGGTGGTTGCCATTACGCTTTACATCCCTTAGGTGCTACTCTTGAGGATTCCACATGTCTTCTTGAAAATCGTTAATGCAGTCTGGCTGAAGTCCTTTGCAATGATTGCTGATTGTGATAAAGGTCAAAAATGAAGGAACACCAGACAACTCTTTTGGCTCATATGGGTAACAGTTTGTGAAATGTAAATGATGATCGGAATAATGTCGGACAACAGTGGGACTTGGGAAGCTGGAGGGAACACTTGGAGAAGCGATTTTCCTGGCCTACAGCCACGGTAAATTCGCCCATCAATCAACACTGCCTCAAAATGCAACAGAAGTTAATGAATCTGTCTATAATATATAAGGAGGTAGGGCACAGGGATATGATGGAATGACCTCTGGGCTGTTCAAGAGCGGTGGTGGCGAACTGTTGCCTAGGCTGTTGATGTATGGGAGTCAGAGGTCTCGTTTGACTTATGTAGGCCATTGACTGTCTCAGGTTATAAAAAGGGAGACAAGTACTGGACCGTCCAGTACTCACAAGTTTTCCAATGGTTCTCTAACTAATATCAGCTCATGATGAAATCCTGAAACCAATCAAATCCCTACAAACCATCACCAGATTGGAACTATGTAGGGAAAGCGTAGTTGGAGTCCTCGGGATGCTAAGAACCAGTGGTTGGAAACTGTTGGTGATATGGCTAAAAATCATTCTCAATGGGGCAGCTTCATTCACTATTTGAAATCTACTAGATCTGTTAAGTCGTCACATTTTTCCAATATTACTATTCGTTCTCAGGTACATTTCTACCTATTACAGTTCTTCTGAATTTATTTTCACTCTTTTCTGTATCACTGTGTGCTATATGGAGTGTGACAATTTAAACTGCTTTACTTCTGGGCGAACTTTACGTTGAAGTTCAGTCAGTCTGTTACACTCTAAGATTTTCTTATTCCTTTGCGTTCCAAGGCTTTAAAGCTTGAGTTTTGAAGTTTCAGTACCACTGGTGTTATCCTTTACGTGGTGAGATCACTAGCACCACCCTCAAAAGTTTCCCTCTTCACCGGGCTTACTACGGTTACAATAGGTGACATGGCTCAAAATCGTTGTCAATGGCGCAGATGTATTCAGTCTCTGTAATCTTTCATTTTCCTTTCTACCATTACCCATTCTGTTTCACTCTTATACTTGTCAAACTCTATTGATTCTCTTCACTCATCTTCTTGTCTACCTCTGTGTGCTATTTGGAAGGTGGCAACTCGAACTGCTGCACTTCGGTGCCAAGTTCTATGTTGAATCCAGACAGACAGACTACGGTTACGCGAGGTTATAATGATAAAATAGGATAATAGCATAATTTTGTAGTGTTTGTGTAATGCACAAAATTTCCAGTAGAGTTTACTGCGTGGTATTTCCTTGAAATAAGATAATAGTCGGTGGTAGATCGACAATTGCGTCATCGACCCTTCTTAAGACAAGTTGCCTGAGTGCTTCGGTTACAAGCAATCGCGAGAAAAAATTATGCCTGGAGGAACTGAGAGTAGTACCTGTTAGAGTTCTCGTTTTTTTCTAATTTATCTCAAACTATGGCGCATAATCATATCTTAATTCTCAGATTCCAGGTTCACCAGCGGAAATTTAATACGTTTCTAATTAACTTAGATACGGACTGAGAGACTTCAGAGCGATCAAAAATTACCGGAAAATATCAAATATTTGGAATCTAAAACGCTAAGCAGTCATTTCTTATTCCCACTACTGTGTACCTTTCTAAGTACCCGCACAGAAAAAACTAAGACCAGCACCTAGAACAAAAGCGTCCGTCAAGGATGCCCATTATCCCCTTTTCTATTCAACTTCATCATAGATGTGTTAATCGACTTGACCCCAAATGACTTCAGAGACTCAGGGATTGACTTGCTACCAGGGAATAATCTCGTTGACTTAGAATATGCAGACGATATAGTCCTTCTAGGCGAAGACGCTGACGAAATGCAGAGTCTTCTAAACACCTTGAGCAGCAATCTACGAATGTTTGGAATGCGATTCGCTCCCGCCAAATGCAAGATGATGTTACAGGACTGGACTACATCGACGCCTAGTTTAAAAATAGGAAGTGAAGTGGTAGAGCACGTTGACCGCTTCACTTATTTGGAAGTACCATCATCCAGTGCCAACAGGTTGATCTCTGACGAAATCTCCGCACGGATACAGAGGGCTAGTCTCGCATATGCCAGGTTACGCAGTGTCTGGCGTAGACGAGATGTTCGACTATCGACCAAAAGGCGTGTGTACTGCTCATCAGTCCGCTCCGTCCCCCTTTATGGTTGTGAGACCTGGCCACTGAGAGTGGAAGACATGAAAAGACTAGCTGTCTTTGATCATAGGTGCCTGCGCTCTATTTCCCGTGTAAAGTGGCATAATAAGGTGAGCAACATTGAAGTTAGGCGTCGAGTTCCAGGTAAACAGAGGGAAATCAATCGACGAAGTCGTGAAGTTACAAAGACTGAGATGGTTAGGACATGTGTTGCGTATGCCAAGCCATCGCCTCCCTCGACGAGCAATGTTAGCGGATATAGGGTTAGGCTGGAAAAAAGCTAGCGGAGGTCAAACAAAAACTTGGCATCAGTCAATGAAATCTACAACAGTTGGTCTAAGCCACGTAGGAAGGTGTAGACTTCGAGGCTGGGGTCCTCGAGACGGTAAAAATCTATGGTTGGAAACAATTGGTGACATGGCTCAAAATCGTTCTCAGTGGCGCAGATGCATCCACTTCCAATGAAACTGTTTTGTTCTTCATTATTACTCTTCCTTTGTCTCACACCTCTGCTTACTGTCTTTATTTAGCATTTCTTCTCTTGCTTTGTGTACTGCATGGAGTGTGGCGACTTGAACTGCCGCACATCAATGCAAAGTTCTATGTCGAAAACAGACAGGCAGACAAAAGCGAAACACTATCTACCAAACTAACTCAATTCAATTTGCTCAGACGGTGAACCGAATTAACTGCTTTATCGATGTCTTTGACCTTCCACTTGTATTTACTAGTGTTTCATTCAATCGGTCGAATTAATGACCTCAGAGAAAGACAGTAATCTTATTTAGTATCTTTAGACTAAGATGTAGATGACTTCAACTTCCTCTTCAGCAGCAAGTGCAACGAAAAGCTCGGAATACACATTTGTATCCGGTTTAAGTCAACTTTCTGGATTACATTTGTGAAGCATTTTTCAAGTTATATACTTAAACACGTGAAAAATATACAAGAGAGAGAGAGAGAAAATAATATGGTCTACAATAACATATATGCACAAACTTATTTGCATCAAGCGAAATTCATGTGGACATTACACGGTGCACAGTTGTTTTACCATCATTTTTCTTCTTATTTTGTTCATAGAAAACAAGATCACATAGAGATAAGGAACGAAAATGAAAAGAAGTCCAGGCATAATTTCAATGGAATACACAGTCAGGTGACATAATAATTGAGCTTCTAATTAAGACACCACTTATTTAGTACTTGAACTGTCATTGTCATTACTTTCAGGATTTGTATTTTGTCCGACAACATTGGAAAGAAATGTCTGGCGTAAATGATTTACAAGTTGAGGATTTGATGCTTGCAGTTGTTGGGCCAATTGGTGACCACTAAAAATTAACAAAGAAAGGAGGACAAAAGTAAACAAGACGTTGCAACAGTATATATATATATATATATATATATATATATACATCAGCAAAATGTCAGATCACATGGTTGAACAAATTACGAACAAAAAGCCTGTTTCGAAAACTATCACCTCAATTAAACTCTTTCGATGAATCCCACGAAGCACGGTAAGTTTATTTCTATTCAAATCATCCTAGGTGATAATTAAACCAGTTCGTACTTTAGAACTCAAAGCCTCCGACAAACAAAAACAGAATGATTAACATTACGATACTTGAACATTACGCTAGAAAAAAAAACCATTATATCTTACAGGCGTAAGAATTCATCCATGTTTTGTTCACCACCAACCTGACCGGATGGCTCACTTGGCTGTGCTGGTTCAGCGGAACAGTTGTTAGAAAAGGTATTGGTGGTTGGATTATCTCTGCTTGCGCCATCTGCCACACCAAATGTATTGCGCATTAAATTTGTCATCCTAAAATGAAATGGTAAATAAAATACTGAACAATAAACTATCCAGTCCGGTATAGTAGGAAATATATAGATGTAAATTACAAAAACTGTGAAAAGTTAAAACAATGTATCAAACCATATGATCATCAGTGGCAGCTATTGAATTCATTGTCTTTCTCATCACTGCTTCACAAGAGGATATATATCTTATAACATAAAACTTTCTAAAAGCCGAGTGTCCAATCCGATAATACAAAAGAGTAAACAGAAATAGAATGATGCTACCAAGTATAGATATTTTGTTTAGTTCGATTTGTACTTCAGAAATTTTACCACGGGTGCGACAAATGTATTTGGAGAGAGAAGTGTGATACTCTTAAGGTCAACCTTCAATAGCTGTTCCATGTAACATTTTGAAAGGAGTAGTCAGTAGTTGCTTTCAGCAGTACGACCGAGTCTTCGGGTTTCAAATTTTCTGATTTTACTCTTATTACTTTTCAACTAACCTTCTAACTAGATATCTGTCTGTTTTCGACATAGAACTTTGCACAAATGTGCGGAAGTTCAAGTCGCCACACTCCGTGTAGCACGCGAAGCAAGAGAAGAAAGTATAAGAAAAGCATGATCGAAACAGTGAGCAGAGGGGTGAGACAAAGGAGGAGTAATAACGAAGAACAAAACAGTTTCATTGGAGATCATAAGTCACAAGGAGTGGATGCATCTGCGCCACTGAGAACGATTTTGAGCCATGTCACCAATTGTTTCCAACCATTGGTTTTTACCGTCTCGAGGACCCCAGCCTGGAAGTCTACACCTTCCTACGTGGCTTAGACCAACTGTTGTGGATTTCAGTCAATACTGCCTAGACGAGTCATGACTACAGACGAACACAACTAGTACATGATGGTTGTGGCCGAAAAAGCCCACCGACAATAAACAAGCGGTGAATAACTTTTCTGCCCAAGTTTAGGATTCTTCAGCAAACAAAGTATGGGAGATAGGTGAGTACACCTAAATTAGTGAGTTAAGCTTCCCAAATAGGACAACAAGCATCACCAGCTAAGACTCTGGCATCCCGAGCCATTGATGTATGTTGTGTTTCAGAAACACGCATACAAGACCCAAGTGTGGTTATTCACCTAACCCCACCTGGCCAACAGGATGAATCTTCAAAATTCACCTTGAGGGTGTCAGGAGATGCCACAGCTAGTTCACGAGGATTAGCTGGCGTAGGGATAGCTTGAGTACTAGGGCAGAAAAGACATTGCTTGACTGGATCCCGGTAGATAGCCGAATGTGTGCTGTCCGTCTGAACGGATCAGTAAGAAGGAGAAAGGACTGCACTACTCGCCGATGCCTTTTCGTAATCTCCGCCTACGCCCCCACTGACTGCAGTTCGGATGAAACGAAGGATGAGTTCTACCAAAAGCTGTCTAGTTTGGTGCGAAAGGCTAAACGCTCAGATATAGTCGTTCTAGCTGGTGACTTTAATGCTCAAGTAGGGAAATTGTGTCAATCTGAGAAGGATGTCGGTGGCACCTATGGAGTTCCGTGCCAGCGAACCGACAACGGTGACCGTCTCCTACAGTTCTGTTCAGATAATCATTTGTTTCTTGTAAGCACTAACTTTAAACACAAGGAGAGACACTGTTTAACCTGGCGACCCCCATCATCAAACCAACGCTGGACACAAATAGACCACATAGCAATAAGCTATCGTTGGCGTGGGTCGGTAGGAGATTGTCGCTCCTTCTGGAACACGTGTGTAGATACCGATCACGCACTGGTCCGGGCTCGTGTGTGCTTACGACTGAACGGACGTAGGAAACAGCTGGCGGTAAAACCATCACGTCCCCAGCTCGATCAGGAAACTAAATCCCTATTTGAGGAAGAACTAGCTAAACGCATATCTGAGTTCGACAGCTGTGCTCACCCTGGAGAAGCCTGGAAGAATATTCAGTCAGCCATAGATACAGCTGTAAAAGCTGTGAATAAGGCAAATCCAAAGGTGAGTAAAAACCACTGGATTTCGACTGCCTCATCCGAACTGATAGATGCTAGAAGACTTATTCCGGCGAGCTCCGAATTCAATGAGGAGCGAAAGCTGCACAAAAGGAAACTTACTAAAAGTCTCCGCAAGGACCGTGAACAGTGGTGGTGACAAAGGCAAAAGAGATGGAAAAAGCATCGGCGATAGGCAACACTAGGCAACTCTTTAGACTCATCAGGAAACGGGTGGGAGAAGGCAAATCATAAGTGAGACTATTTCTGAGAAAAATGGCTCCTTAATTAGCTCTCAGGATAGACGCCTTGAACGCTGGAAAGAACACTTTGAGGACAATTTAACTTGCCTACAGCCACACTGAACCTCCCCGCCATCCACACACACCCGAATGGGATATAGACACTGGTCCGCCGTCTGTAGTGAGGTCACAAAAGCTATCAGTAATTTGAAACGAGGCAAAGCGGCAGGACCCGACGGAATTATTCCGGAGGTGTTTAAATATGGGGGTGACATACTAGTTTGTAGATTAACTGAGGTACTAGGCAAAGTCTGGGAATCAGAGACAGTCCATCAGACTGGGGTAAGTCACTTATTATACCGATATTCAAGAAGGGAAACAAGTCCTCGTGTGATAATCATAGGGGGATCAGCCTAACGAACATAGTCTCTAAAATCCTAGGCTCAGTAATCATGCATAGACTAAGCAGAACTCGGGAGGAACAGACAAGGGAAAATCAAGCAGGCTTTAGACCAGGTAGAGGGTGCATAGATCATATCTTCACTCTTCGACAGATTCTAGAACATAGACACACTTTTCGGCGTCCAACAATTGTCATATTTCTTGACTTGAAGGCGGCCTTCGACTCCGTGGATCGAAAGGTACTATGGCAATGTCTGACTGTGAAGGGAGTGCCAAGAAAGTACATTGCACTAATCAAGGCACTCTATTCAAACTCACGTAGTCGTGTAAGGGCTTATGGGGAATTGTCATCTGAATTGGTAACAACCAGTGGTGTCCGACAGGGATGTCCACTTTCCCCATTTCTGTTTAACTTCATCATAGATATGCTGATGGAAGTATCCTTAACTGAACGTAATGACTTAGGAATCGACTTGTTACCAGGGAATAGTCTTATGGACTTAGAATATGCAGATGACATAGTCCTGTTAGGGGAGGATGCTGACAAAATGCAGAGTCTTCTGAACACCTTGAGCAGCAATCTTCGTATGTTTGGCATGCGATTCGCCCCTGCAAAATGTAAGATGCTGCTACAGGACTGGACACGTCAACCCTAACTTAGTGATAGGGAGTGAAGTGATAGAACATGTTGACCACTTCACCTATTTGGGAAGTTGTATTAGCACCAACGGACTGATTGGCGATGAAATCTCAGCACGGATCCGAAAAGCTCGAGCTGCTTTCGCTGACTTACACCATCTCTGGCGTAGGCGTGACATCCGGTTATCAACCAAGGGACGTGTGTACTGCTCATCAGTTCGCTCCGTCCTTCTCTATGGCTCTGAAACATGGCCAATACGCGTTGAAGACATGAAAAGGTTGACTGCTTTCGATCATAGATGTCTGCGATCTCTGTCTCACGTTAGGTGGTTTAATAAGGTAAGTAATGTTGACGTTAGGCGTAGAGTGTTGGGCAAAGAGGGAAAATCAATCGACGAGGCTATAAAGTTACATAGACTAAGATGGCTAGGTCACGTGCTGCGCATGCCTAACCATCGCCTCCCCCGACGGGCATTGCTAGCTGATATAGGTGCAGGTTGGAAAAGAGCCAGTGGTGGCCAAACAAAAACATGGCATCAATCCATGAAATCCTTGACAGTTAAACTGAGTCAGGTAGGGAGATGCAGACTTCCGGGTTGGGGCCCTCGGGACTCTAGGAATCAATGGCTGGAGACAATAGGTGACATGGCTCAAAATCGTTGTCAATGGCGCAGATGTATTCAGTCTCTGTAATCTTTCATATTCCTTTCTACCATTACCCATTCTGTTTCACTCTTATACTTGTCAAACTCTATTGATTCTCTTCACTCATCTTCTTGTCTACCTCTGTGTGCTATTTGGAACGTGGCAACTCGAACTGCTGCACTTCGGTGCCAAGTTCTATGTTGAATCCAGACAGACAGACAGAAGCTTCTCAATATAACTCTTTATTAGAAACGTCTGTCTGTCTGTCTGGATTCAACATAGAACTTGGCACCAAAGTGCAGCAGTTCGAGTAACAGAAGACAAGGGCTGGCAACAGATGATCGTATTTATTAATTAACTCTGTCACATTGTGTACCGTCGACAGCTTAATCGCTGCTATCTCGCTGGTCTCATACATGTTGATATGCCCGTATTTCGCGATCACCACGTTCGCTTGCGTGTCGATTATTGCACCAATCTCACGCAGAAAATCCGCTCCTAATATCGTTCGCTGTAGTTCGGGTACAACAATGAAAGGAAACGTCACCTCGCAGCCACCAACAACGACCGTACAGTTCGATCTACCCGTGATACGCAACACATACCCGCCTACTGTTTGTACTGTCAATGAACACGGACTAACACTCTTACATAAATTCTTATCTATTAACGACACGGCCGCCCCTGTATCTATCAAACATACTACTTCTCGATCATTCACTCGCAACTTCGAATACAGAGCCCCTTTCTCAATAGCCCCCACTAAATCTAGGTTCATACGAAAGAAAGAACAAGCATTAAACCGTCTGAAATTTTTTCTTTTTCGCCTTTCTGGGCAGTATCTTCTCCAGTGTCCCGGCTTACCGCATTCAAAACACCGGTCTTTTCTATCAGCCAACTTTAACGCCGCCACTTCCCGCTGCAATGCTTCAATTTTCTGCTCATATTCGTTTGGTTTTGGTTGGTCTATAGCGGCTACCGTTGTGCTCAGCAGCTGTCTGGTCACCTTCGCCAGCTCACTAATATCCATCGGCTGCGTTGCGTTAACCAGTTGTAATCGCTGAAAAATGTGGTCTGGGACACTCTCGATGAATTGGGAAGACAGTAACTGCGCTTCTGATTCTTCATCTAAAGTGGGAAGCGCGCGTCGAAGTAGATTAGTCAGTTTCACCGCCAACACTAGCGGGTCTCCATCAGGTCCAAGCTTCATTGACCGGAACTGCTGCATTGCTAGCTGTCTGTCTGTTTCGCTGTCAAACTCGGACACTAGTCGTTCAACCAATTTCTTCCAAGACGCTGTGCCATTTGACCTGTCTACGCTGTCATATGCAGCCTTCGCTCGGCCTCTCAACAGCGTCCCCAGGACAACTGCCTTCGCCGCCTGCTCCTTGACACCCACCAGCTCAGCAACGGCCTCGAAGTCACGTAAGAAGCTCCGTATGTCTCCTTCTTCAAACGCAGCTGGCCACGGGATCTTCATCTTTTTGGAGGCAGCGACACCAAACGTAAATTCGGAAATATAGTGACATCAAAAATTAAGACTTAAAGAACACAAACATGTTAAAAATCACACTTTTAAGGTTATAACTTATAACGATTAATACAATCATAAATAAAAAGATTATGATAAGGTGCAGAATTACAGTTCTAATAAATCCTAGAATAAACTTACATGCTTTGGGCATTCGGATCACTCATGAATTGACGAGCCATATTTTGCATCATTGGGTTATTTAAAATAGAATTAAGGTCAAAACCGCCAAATAACCCTGAACTTTGAGAATTATCCGGTGTATTCTTTAATTTTTCCTCCGCAATAGACAAGTTCTGTTGGCAATTTTCATTGTTTGGATCAAGTTCCAAACCTTTTCGATAACATTCGACGGCTTTGGCGTGGTTACCAATACTTGAGTAGGCAATTCTAAATAAAGAGTAGTAAGTGGTGGACACTATCAACAAGAAACATAAAACTGACAGCTTAAAATATCAAATAAATATTCAATAAATGATTGTACAAATTAACAAGAAATTATTGTGTAACCCCAAAAATAGATGTTATTTCTGATGCGAAAGAGAGTATATAAAGTTTAATACAAATTTATGTAGTGAAACCTCAGATACATCAACCCGCAGATACTAGACTGGACTTGATTATCAAATATCAACTATTAAGAAAGCTTGAACATTTGTTCTACTGAAATAATTTATCCATGTTTTGGAATTTCCGTTCATATATTTGACCACATTGATCAGTTTTAGTTTTATGCCTCAATATTACCAGGATTAAGATATCAAAGTTACTCATTTGGTGGTAGTAGAATCCAGCAAGTGTGTTTTATCATATTTGGGACTTGTCGATTGTATGCACGTGCCCCAGTGAGTGATGGTGTTCCCGCTGAGAAATTAAATAAAACTGAAGGTAGTGGATATTCTTATTTTTTATTTTTTTGATTTACAGCTTGATTCCACACTGTATTTATGGTACAAGTATGGAATTTTCAGCATGGATATCGGTAGCCCAAATTTTGCAGGCCGACCATAGATATCAGGTGTGCGCCGGCGTGGGCTCGAACCCCGGACCATGTGCATGGTCGGCGAGAGACCTAACCACTGTGCCACCGACGCACACATACTCCGTCCGAAGACAGAGCTGAAAAAAATGAGACAAGACTCATTGTATTGTGCCTCCCCACGGAAATCTTTAGTAAAAGGCGAAAGATTTATCCGCAAATGAGGAGACACCAGAGTTATTCTTAGGGGACAGTATCTCAGAAGGATGCTTTACAAAATAAATTGTCGTAGATCATAATGCCAGTACATTAGGAGGGGTGATACGCATTCTACACACCTTTTACAATCAGACACACTACTATGAGACCTTTTATCTAATGGAACTTTAAAATTTCAAGATTCACCTAATATCGAGTTTCAGTAGGTATATACTTGTTTTCTAAGATCTAGGGAAAAGAGATAGTTTGATCAATACAATTGCAATCTTTCTACATTTGTTATATTTTAACTCTAAATGCATACTCCTGAAGAACAGGAATTGATGGGGTTCTTAAGGTTCCTAGCTCAAGCAAGTTAAGACTGTGATACAGCGATTTTAGCAGCCCGAAACTATTTCTTTAAGGAATAGTAAGTCTACGTTTATGACTAGGATTTCAATAACTGTTCTTAAGTGAAAATAACACTAGTTTCTTAAAGAATCTCATCAAAATATGGAATATTTGTGGTACATTTACGATAACGAGTATTGAAAGTGTATATATATATATGCTAGTAAGTACTAATATGTGACTGCTAAAATGATGAGCAACTGTAAAATTATGGTATGAGTCGCATATAATGATTATTTGCAAGTCTGATTTTACTTGAAGATCTAACCAGTGCATTCTGGTCTCAACTTGAAACCTGTCTGGCTTTTCTATGCTGTTTTCTCCTTAGTCCCACTTATTTTCAGTAGGAATCAAGGACTTAATATAGTAAACATGATTTTAGTCACACTGAACTCCTTGCGGCAGTCCATAAAAAGATTGTTGTCCTATTTAAACAATTCTCCAATCAAATATTGACAACTGCTCAAATGTCCTCATACGGGTGAATATATATCGTAACGTTTAATGCAGTCGAAGACGAAAACAATAGCTATTCTCTCACTGTAGCGTCTCGGTTACTCTAATTTACTTTGTAGATTTTTTTTGTTTGCATCACACTTTTCACGTAACAGGCTAAAACACACATACTGGTGTAACGGCAGAATATAAGAGGATTTGGTAACGGGATTATTTATTGGCGGTTCGATGTACAGATATAGGCAAAATACATCTACCATACATTAAGATCAAGACTTGTACACATCTTCAGTATTGTGCTCCTTCGTTTTCGCCTCATATTTTCCAAGTTGTTTCCCAAGAATCGTTCATTTCACCTCTTTGCCAGCAAATCCATCTCTTCACTATTCGATATTCTTGCAGATGATATACATGTTTATATTTGAATCTATATACTACTCATAATTCCTGTAAGTAGCACGCGCCACAGTGGTGCTACTTAGTTGCTGAGGCTGAAGTAGGCAAAGTGGAACCCGAACCGATGGACTGTTGGAGGCTGAAAACCGAGTACCACATCTCTATATTCTGTGGATTACATTACACCCATCTCTTTCCACTGGATCCCTTGGTCAGTATGGTAGGGTCAGCTAATGAGATTTTGAAAGCTCGTTACCATTCGAGATATTCTTATTAATGGCTGTTTTTTGATGTCTATATCCATATTGTTTGGCAAATTTACCTACCACAAAAGTGCTCCCACAAGTTACCACGTTAACATATGTAAAGAATCTTCCAGAACAAAATCTGCCCTGAAGCCAATTAAATCTCCAAAAGCACAAGCGTTTCAGAAATATAAAAATGTAGGTTCTGATATGGCTACGTTTCACAGGGTTGAAGAAAAATAAAAGGGAAAATCATATCATGAATATTTAGAAGTTAAACCCACAAAGTGTACAGTAAAAGGCTGATTCTCATCCGTGAACAAATAAACTAAATGAAACAGCTTGCTTACAGAAACCGCATGTATGTAGAAAAATGTTGTGTAACATGAAACATGACAGAAAAAATGCAAAGTATAAAACATACCCCATTCTACCATATGCTTTACTATAATTCGGATCAATTTCCAATGCTTTTAGACAATCACTGATGGCATCCTGATGATGATCTAATCGAGAATGTGCAGCAGCTCTTTAAATGGAAACACAATAAAGTATATGATAAATATCAAGTTTCTGAAAGACAAATAAACAATAAGAAAAGTCATCCTTAGATGAATCGAACACACGGTATCAAGGGTTCTTCAGAATTCCTGTTTTAATAAACCTATGACACATATAATATTAACAAATAAGATGGCATGAAGCTACCAAATAAGGTTTCCTACTAAATTTTTTAACTACTATAAAATATAAGAGTAACATCTCTAGACGTTAGCTTTCCAACGAGTCTACAGTGGAACTGAACTTCAATTTCGAGTTATGTAGGCGGATGTATGTTATCCAGTTGGGGGATTCGGGTTGTGAAGAAACTAGTAATGTGCTTCAAAATCGTTTACAATGGTGCAAACGTATTCACCCTCAATTATGTTTAACAGTAATAACAAGTTTGTCAACCTTGAACTAATTATTTTTCCTTTCACACATTTTCCACACCAAAGTCATCAAATTTCTGTTAGTCTAAATAAAGTGTGGTAATTTTGCATGACGGATTTTTTCATAAGGATCGCATTGATCTCCCAACCAGTCTGGTTTTGTTTCACCCACCCAGATAATATTGTTATCTCGTCCAAAAAGGTATTTTCAATCATAAAATTAAACTTTGGTAGCAAGGTACCAGTCATATGCTTGACAAATATGATGTCAATTGATCTGGAAAAAACAACGAATTTATCGGATGAGACTAATTAATAGCATTGCAACTTCAGTCTCACTACACCACGAACAGAGTTCAAAGATTTTCTAACGCAGTGACTCGGGTATTCAACTATCAAATACACGGTAACTATTTACGATCTACCTTACTAAATGAGGCTTGTATAACCAGACAGTATCATTAGTCCTTGGAGGAAACATGAAGGTCTATACGAAAGTAATGGGCTACATTATTTTACGAACTGATTAAATGTATCTACTGTAAGACAACAGGTGAGTGGTGACATGTTCAATAAGTGGAGTTCCTTTGTCGTAGAAATTTACGAATTGAAATTACTGAAGACTGTCATATAACGTTTATCCAGTACTACCTAGATCCGAATAACACTAGTATATGAAAAGTCATCTATTTGACTTTTCTTAGGGGTATGCTACCTCTGTGATTTCTACAGATTTTACATTTTCTATGCCGTCAGAATGATTGAGGCGAACGGAGATCTGATGTTTAGAAGATATTAAAATATTTCTTTTGCCACTTGATCCTGTGCGCTGTTTGTCAGTGCGGAACGTTACTATCTAATCCACTCTTCACATGCTATTGTCCTGTGAGGTTTAAAGTCTCGTTCACAACAACATAACGCGAAAATGCGATTAAACGACATTTTTTCTTAAATTTTTCACAGTAATTTAATTAGAACTCCGTCTGAAATAATAGCTATTTGCATAAACAAGCAGTAAAGGTTTCCGTAATACATTACCTCACGTCAGTAACAATTACTCCGAGAAACACAGAGCCTAAGTGAGGAGATCCCTTAAGTAAACAAGAAATGGGCAGAATAATAGATAAACATATGCTAATCAAGAAGACATCGCAAATGAATGTCGCTATTAGCACATTTAAGTGGCAAACAAAAAAAGTATAAATGTAGTAAAGAGGGAAGAACTATACACAGCATTTACTTAAAGCACATGATTTTTGAAAACGCAGTATTATTACCTGTTGCAGTAAAAGACAGCATTGAAGGGTGACAGTTCGATGGCCTTACTGTAGCAAGCTACAGCCTCTTCAAACTTTTCTTGTTTCATGCATTGGTTACCTACATGAATTATTTTATGAGATAAGGTCATACCTTGGTTTTTCAGTGCCTCCGCCATTGATTTAGCTTCTTCTGTGGGTTCACTTCTGGAAACACTGGGCTTTTTCTATTGAAAACTATTAGCATCATAAAAAAATGATACCTGTGTTTGGGATTCAAACAATGTTTGTAGGTCCGGAACCTCACCAGTTTCATTATCAGATATGTGGAAAGCGGTTTCTATGCACTGTTTCGCGACTAGAGAGTCAATACAACAGTTATTTCAAAGTAAATATTTTACGTTAATATCACGAAAGCATTAATGCAACCAATGAAAACAAAAAAGCATGAGATTTGAAACCAATTCAATCACCTACATAATCTAACAGACACAAAGACGATTACAGTACACATTGTGTGTTATCTGGCAGATATACTTACCACAGTCCATTACCTCGGGCTGTTTATGTACAGCGCACAACTAATACTTCGATGAGGGAACTCCAATCTTAACTATTTGGTCATGAATTCCCAGGTTGATTTACCTAACAGTTTGGGAAGTAACATTGATACTGGAGTGACACAGCTGCATACAAGTCACAAGTAGTGGGTGTGATTTTGTGCTCGCCATACCACTGCATACTATACCAGCAGCAGATATTTTAATTTCAGGATTGAAAACACACACTCCGTAAACAGTCACCGTGATAAGGCTAAAAAACGTTCTCAATGACGCAAATGCATCCATTACTTGTGACTTAAAATACCCAATGAAACTATATTGTCCTTCGTAATTGCTATTCCTTGTTTCATGTCCCTGTTTACTGTTTCTATTTTTCATTTCTTCTACTTTCTTCCCTTGCCTTCTGTGCTACATGGATTTTGGCGACTTGAAATGCTGCACATCGGTGCATAGTTCCATGTTGAAAACAGACACATACTCCTTACAGGAATTTCTGTTTCTCCCTGAGTGCTTCCACCGTGACAACTGCTACTACTTATTTTGGTGAAATGTTTCGCTTCTTGGTTACTCGGAGAACAAATATAAGTCTCACCTATTAAAAATCACATGATGGAGTTAGGACATTAGACTATGCATCTTAAAATGCATATGCAGAATTCAGACTGGAAACAACCAAACACACTATTTGACAACGAGCGCTTACCTTCCAGACTTTCGGTAACTTCAGAGGAATAAAGATTAGAATTTATTTCCTTTTCGAAGAAACGTGCAACAGATCTGTATAGTATCTTTTTACGGTCCATCTTCGCACCTTAAGTCTATGGTAACGTACAATCTCGAGAATTCCGCCACGGTGTCACTTGCAGAAGGTTCCAATGTCCTTCTTACGAGCTCGTGTAGACCAAAATGATTTCGTTATGCTCCTTTCTTCATTGTAATTTAAATCTAAGTCTTCTGCATTGTGCCACCGCCACTAGGCTGTTTTAGCTATGCCTGGCTTCAAAGATTGTGGTTATAGGGATCGGTTCAGATTTGGATAACAAAGACATTAGGTTCATGTGGCCTGTGTTAGTCTCGCAGTGTACAACTCTGCGTGAAACCAATTTCTCCTTGAAAGCGTTCACAATTAGGTTTGATACTGCGTCAACCCTCCTCTTCTAAAACTCTATGTGATCATCCAGGTCCCTTACGTATTTTATTCGTCCGCGGTTTGATCAGTTTTCTCTGTAGACTTCACAAATGTATCCTAGAGGGGCAGAAGACATTAAGGTCAATCCCGAAGTAACCTTTTAATATACGAAATGCCAAAGCCAAGCCACCTGTCCTCCTTCTGTAGGATTATGGGAAGAAACTTAAATGTTTCATTCTTTTCTACTGCGGAAGATGAGACTTAGTTCCTACCCGCTTTACTCTTTCCAACATATATGCCATCCTGTTGAGTCATAGACTAGCCCCCTAGAATACAGTATTCTAGATTAGGCCTGACGTTATGCATGGAGTACTTTGAACACTGATTCATCTAGTCGTTCGAAAATCCTTGAAGTGCCAAGAACATTCTAAAAGTCGTAGCTACAGATTTGTTAAAAACATACAGTTTTTTCCTAATAATGGGTAACATCCATTGTTGTCCCTTAAACATCCGAGAAGTTCTGTGTCCCACAGGGAGTATGAGGCCTCCAACCTAAGTGCTTCGCTGCACTCCCGAATTTAATTTTCAAACTCCAGAGATTTATTTATCTAGGTCACCTTGTGAAGCTAGCACATCCTCATTATTATCTAAAGTTTTCTACATCCTCAAACAACAGTGAACATGAGGTAAGAATTGTCGCAGCTACTTAAATGAAGTACTTCACTCAGTGCTGTCTTCACCCCTAGATTGCACCATAAATATTCACCTGGATTCCGAGTGGAACATAGGACCTCAACAGCACCTCTAACCTAGTCCTATCTTCTGCCGTCCTACTCAACTTGTACAACGACTGCACACAATCTCTCCTCTCCTCTTCATATGATCTCCATTATGTCACCCTCGCAAAGACAACCCACTCGTCGCTTCCCATCGCGATTCCACTCGAGCGGTGGCCTGCATTGCGGGCAGTTTCATTCGATGGTCACCTCATGTATGACAGAACCATTTATATTTTCGCTTATAAATTTGTTGAGAAATCGGCTCTTGACTGGTTCGTCCCCAGCCACATTTTCTTCTTACTAATTCTCTCTGGTCGGCCATTTCACCCTCAGTATGGGGCCATCCAGCCAGCGAAGACAGCTGTTGATAAATGTCTGCAGTAGCCTGTTGGAAATCCCTTTCGTGATAAACACGCAGTGCGATTTTCTGACGCGTATAGAAGTACTGACTGACTGACTTCACACTTCTGTTGAAAATCCGAATCCTGTTGTTTATGCTGGCTGAGTGCAGGAGATTTCCGAACTGGGTTCAGGTTGATGAAGGCGTGCGTATTTTTCCTTTCCGATTCTGACTGACTGACTTACTGGCTGGCTTTGGCATCTTCATCCGTTCCGACTGCCTGTAGTTGAAACGATTCTGCGTAGCTAGAAAAGTGAAGAAAGTGTGTGAACTCTGTCAAATCTCTCCCGTTGATGGTGATTGGTGCTGGTTGGTGTTGTTGCTGTTGTTGCTATCGGTTCTGGGGGAGGTGGTGGTTGGTTATCTTGATCACCTCCGTCTTCTCTATGTTCACCTGGAGCCCTGTCTTCGCTGTCTGCCTGCTGGCGTGCCTGCCTGCTTCTTCAGCCAGTTGGTTGAGAGTTATCGCCAGCCTGCAAGCTGTCGACTTTGTTTCACATTAGACACATATCATCCACACGCGAAATCCACATCTTCTGGAGTCTCCTTCTCAGTGGTCCAGCGTATTCCTGTCTCCTCGCTCCCAACTCACAGTCTGATACATAATCCAGTCCGTCACAATCAGAAATGTCAACGTGGGTGATAGTAGGCAGGCAGGCTGATTAGCTGCCTGAGTGGCTGACTGGCTAGTTTGTCTTACTCCCGTATTCACTTCAAACGCCTCTCTGAGTTTCCCGTTGTGGATCACCTGACGCACCTAACACGTGGAAGGCACTGTCATATGGTCAACTGCTCAATGAGCTTGACAAAGACTTGAGAACTGAACAGCACCGTAGTATTGAAGCAGTTTGCAAATTACTCCTCTATCAACGACGACTGTCGAAGGCCTTTTCTTAGTCGATGAAGGAAGTTGAGTTAGAGAGAGGTTTGACTGTCATTCTATGCTTTGTTCTGTGATGGCGATGCGTAGAGTTGGAATTTGATCAGGAGATGATTTGCCTTTCGTGAATTCAGCCAGCTCGTTGTGGTCGGTGGGTGGCGGATTTCTGGATCCAGTGTATCTTTTAGTCACTCCAGGATGACGCGACATAGTATTTTGCTTAGCGTGGAGAAGAGCGTTATTCCACGCCAGTCAGTTCTTGCAGAGTGAGGCGTGAGTTGCCATTCTTTGTCAACTTGACAAGGTAGCCAGCCTTTCTTACAATCGGTAGGTACCTCTCCTGCCTTCCAAAACTTTTGTAATAATGGCGTGGGCATATCTGGAGTGAGCAGTCGCTATGTCCGTTTTCAGTGCTTAGTCGGGGAGGGAGAGATTCTGTCTGGTCCTGCTGCCTTCCCAGCAGGACTTCAGTAGCTCGATTGCATTCAAGACTTCCGCTCTTGTTGGTGGATCGCTGTCTACTAACAGTTCTACGCCAACTGCTGTTGGAGGTATTTCTGGGCGAGTTGTGGGTGATGGTCGATTTCAAGAGTGTTTTAAATTAATCAGCCCATTGTTTACTTTCTTTCTCCTCCTTGGTAATCAGGTTCCCCTGAACATCTTTTATTGGTCTTATCATCCGGGTTGATCTCTTACCGATTAGCGAGTGACCTCGTTATCTGATATAATATTCTCAGGTCTCTTTTACCTGCAGCCTGCCGGTCTGCTCTGCTTCAGTTGCTGGACAGAGTGTCGTAGAATTGTCCTTCGTCTTTCCTAGCACTCTTCTTCACGTCTTTCTTGATTCAGCGCAGTGTAGATTGCTGTGAACTCAGCTTCTCTCTCGGTTGTCCATCTTTGCATTGAGTCGTTTTCTCTTTCACCGTCCTCCTCTCCTCTGCTGTCTTCTATTAGTTTACCGGTAGGTGTCCGTTCAGAGCCATTCCTTTTCTTGTCTTGTCTCTTCCTTCTTCCTGGAACAGTTGTACACGTTTCCTTGAGTATCACCGCCAGAGAGTTAGTTCCAATGTTCTTCCACGCAGGCTTCCTCAGTGATACCACGTAGTGTCTCTGACTTTGCTCTGATTTGATCCGTAGTAAAGTATCCCTTGTAGTTTTGCCCTTCAGTTTCTGAATGTTGGACTTGCATTACAGTGGTCTGTCTCCAATAATTTTCATTGGTTTTAGCTCCACCTTGATTCATCCATGAAGTAGCTGATGTTCTGAGATAATATCTGCTTCTTTTTTCTACTTTGTGTCCAGTGGACTGCGTCTCCATTTCGTTGAGCAGCATTGAGATTTATTGTATCTGGTTCACAGTGCGTCTGTCTTGCGAATCCCGCCTTGCTTTGTGAATATCCTTGTGTTTGTAATTGCTTTCTCATACCACCAAATTATTGAAGGAGCAGAAGTCTGCAAAGAGATCTTTGTTATCAATCATTTCTCCAGGTTAGAGCCTCTCGGCTCATAATCATTTCCCTTCTTCTATTATTTGCTCACATTTCGGTTGACCCTCACATCACCCATAAGGATTTAAATACCACCATTCGGGATGTTGACCGTATGTTTAAGGGTTTGTCAGCTAATTGTAGAGTTGTTTTCGACAACTCATGTTGAAGCTCAGTGTCTTCTTTTTGAAGACGAGCCAGTTTTACAAGGTCTATGCCGTCGATTTGGGTGAGGGAACAAACGCGCGACAAGGCATCTGCCACAGTGTTGTTTGCTCCGGATAAATGGCGAATATCTGATGCAAACTGTGAGACGTAATCCAGTTGTCGTAATTCCCTGGGTGAATACTTATCTGAAGGTGAGTTCAGAGAGTACGTCAGAGAATTTTGTTCAGTGAAAATTATGGATTCACGACCCTCTACTGAATGTCGAAAATGACGTATAACACAGTACATAGCCAGAAGTTCTCTGCAGAATGTGCCCGAAAGGCGTAGTTTTCGCAATATCTTCTGGCGCCGTCGATTATGCGCTTTAACCAAGTCGATTGAAGAGAACATAGTTGCGCCAGATGGTGTTGCCGTCAAGTCGTGTATATGAGGCAAAGGGTAGCAATCAGGGGTTGTTTTGGCATTTACTCGCCGGTAATCACCAGTGGTTCTCCAATCTTGATTTTTGGTACCATATGAAGTGGGGGTGCCCATGGGCTATTCGAAGGTCGAATGATGCCAAGGGTAAGCATATGGTCAAATTCATTCCTGGAGATTCTCAGTTTGTCAGGAGCTAGTCATCGTGCTTTAGATGTCACAGGTTGTCCTGTGGTAATGATGTGATGCATAAAATTGCTGATTATGCACGGTAGATCGTTCGACGGGCAATTAAGTTCCGGATACTTGTCAAACATAGGCTGAAAAGTTGGATCAAGGATTGCCTTTAACTTAACGGTGATACACTGGGGCCTATGTAGATAATGCATTTGATAGACAGACTAGTAGTATTGTCAATCAGTCATTTTCGGCGGACGTCTATGAGGAAATCATGATGATTAAGTAGGTCCGTACCAATGATGGGCATTGTGACGTCAGCGAGAAGGAAAATCCACTGAATGGGTTTGCGTAAACCTACGTTCAGATAGACGTATTTCCTACCAAAGGTTGCGATTGGTTTTCCATTTGCAGCCTGTAAGTTGAAGGTAGGTTCCTTCTGTCGATCTGCTTCTGTAG